CTTCGATCACCATCTCTTTAACGACCGCCCTTACTGGAAAACAAACCCATTTAGTTATTTATTTTGAATTTGTAACAATAAATTGCACAACAAATTAAAAAAAAATTGTCTCCTTTTTTATGTCTTGTACTGCTTTTTTTCCATCGAAAATATAAAAAAGCACCAATAACTTGAGAAAAAAGCGTTTTATCACACTGAAAGCACCAAATTTTTTTTAATCAAAAGATGCTATTTTCATAACAGGTGGTATTTAACAAAAGCAAAAAATTAACAATATTTACAAGAATACATACATACATAAATCAACACACAAAATATTTCGCTCATAACGATTGAATAGCCTCTACACATGCTATGATGGCTCATACTTACGTCGTAATATCGAAGTACTGCGCATTAAAACTGGTATATCTCGAGAAAGAAAAATCGAATCTCAACAAATGAAAATGATGCCTAAAGGCCTGTATGCAGATCTCAAGAAAAGCAAAAACTCCATATAAAATGAGCCAAATTTCCTTAAGGCAGTACGCAGTTCTTAAGAAATTTACTACGCTTTCTACTACGATTTTCTAAAGTTTTTTGTGAAAAAAGAGCACAAGGCAACCCAGGTTTGCAACAGAAATATATGCCCGTTCCATAAATTCTTGAGGAAAGAGTGAGACAACAGACTGTGAAGTATCAAAAATGTCAAAATTCCTTGGACACGCACGCGAAATAATGGCAATTTTTTCTTGAGCGTTTTCTTGAGAGCTGCATACAGGGCTATAAGTAGAAATGAGCAAAAAATTTTATGTTTTCATTATATAACCTCAAATTTAGCCAAAACCCGTCTTTTTGGCACTTTAAGGATTAGGATCTCTCAAAATTCTNTTTTGGCCATTTTTTTAAGAAGTCCCTAGGGAACCATAGGGGGCCGAGGTAGTCCGGACTCCGGAGTAACATTTTTATCAGTGTCGGTGCATGCCCTCTCCAAAAAGGTCGTTTGGAGGTGCCACGCCTACTTCCCCTTCGATCACCATCTCTTTAACGACCGCCCTTACTGGAAAACCAACCCATTTAGTTATTTATTTTGAATTTGTAACAATAAATTGCACAACAAATTAAAAAAAAATTTTCTCCTTTTTTATGTCTTGTACTGCTTTTTTTCCATCGAAAATATAAAAAAGCACCAATAACTTGAGAAAAAAGCGTTTTATCACACTGAAAGCACCAAATTTTTTTTAATCAAAAGATGCTATTTTCATAACAGGTGGTATTTAACAAAAGCAAAAAATTAACAATATTTACAAGAATACATACATACATAAATCAACACACAAAATATTTCGCTCATAACGATTGAATAGCCTCTACACATGCTATGATGGCTCATACTTACGTCGTAATATCGAAGTACTGCGCATTAAAACTGGTATATCTCGAGAAAGAAAAATCGAATCTCAACAAATGAAAATGATGCCTAAAGGCCTGTATGCAGATCTCAAGAAAAGCAAAAACTCCATATAAAATGAGCCAAATTTCCTTAAGGCAGTACGCAGTTCTTAAGAAATTTACTACGCTTTCTACTACGATTTTCTAAAGTTTTTTGTGAAAAAAGAGCACAAGGCAACCCAGGTTTGCAACAGAAATATATGCCCGTTCCATAATTTCTTGAGGAAAGAGTGAGACAACAGACTGTGAAGTATCAAAAATGTCAAAATTCCTTGGACACGCACGCGAAATAATGGCAATTTTTTCTTGAGCGTTTTCTTGAGAGCTGCATACAGGGCTATAAGTAGAAATGAGCAAAAAATTTTATGTTTTCATTATATAACCTCAAATTTAGCCAAAACCCGTCTTTTTGGCACTTTAAGGATTAGGATCTCTCAAAATTCTAGTGCCAAGCAATTTTTTTTTGTTTTTTATTCAGCTGGTAAAAAAAAAAAATTTATACAAATAATTAGAAAAGGAAAAAAGAAATACTTAACTTACGCGAATATAATCATCGTACAGTTTCATAAGTAAAAACACTATCAGCTGATTGCCAAAATATGCCTACAGCTGAGATCACCTGTTTTTTGGCATGTGCTCTTATCTTTTACAATTTCTTTCATTTCTATTACAATTTCATTTATTTCTATTACAATTTATTCAAAATACACTAACACACTGAACCAAAAACACCAATACAATAACCAAAAACACACCTACAGCCTGCCAAAAACACACCTACAGCCTGCCAGAAAAAACGGTAAGAAGAAGAGTTACTTTACTTATGGAACTGTACGATGAATATAATTCAACATATTGGGTTTGTAACTTCAGCTTTTTATCAATCATGGTTATATTTTAGTGGATTTAAATTTGTAGATTCTTGTAAATTCAGTGCCGCCACAGCTTTAAATATTTCAGGTTTTACCTATCTCGGAGGAATTTTAGTTCAGAAAAAAAGCACTAAAAAAGGCACAAGGCACTAAATATTTTTTTTTGGCGTTTTAATTTTCAAAAAGCACGAAATCTAGTGCTTAAAGTACCAAGTTGGCAACTATGCTCACTGGTGATGGAGATGNGAATTTTAGTTCAGAAAAAAAGCACTAAAAAAGGCACAAGGCACTAAATATTTTTTTTTGGCGTTTTAATTTTCAAAAAGCACGAAATCTAGTGCTTAAAGCACCAAGTTGGCAACTATACTCACTGGTGATGGAGATCTCAATCAAGTACTTCTATCAACTTCCTAAGAGCAATATGCAAAACGTGATGTAAACATTTGTGTACATGTGATCTTCCGTCTTCCTCCGACTTATGGTCTTATTTAGTGGTATCTTTTTNTTTTTTTTGGCGTTTTAATTTTCAAAAAGCACGAAATCTAGTGCTTAAAGCACCAAGTTGGCAACTATGCTCACTGGTGATGGAGATCTCAATCAAGTACTTCTATCAACTTCCTAAGAGCAATATGCAAAACGTGATGTAAACATTTGTGTACATGTGATCTTCCGTCTTCCTCCGACTTATGGTCTTATTTAGTGGTATCTTTTTAAATGTGTTAGTAAGATAAATGAGAATGTGTTAGTTCCCATCACACAATTCTTGTAGGGGTTTATATATATATATGCATACGCAATGGTCGGCATACAAGCCCATTCAAACGATTGAATAAGTGGGACTGTGTGAATTGCTCAGCTGGCGCTCTTCGTATGTGAAACACATACGGTTGCCAGACGTACTGATTTTATCAGTACAGTACTGATTTTTCAACTCTTGTACTGATTTTATTCATTTCTTCAATCAGTACGCTAATGTCCTGATTTTTCAAAATTTGTACTGATTTCTACTGAATTTTCAATTCAAACCAAATACTTTAGGATTTTCTTAAAGTTCTTACATAACGTTGGAACTTCCTTAAACTGTACTGTAAAAAGTAAGAAGAAAATAATTTAATTATAGTTGACATGTTTCAGATAATGTTTGATATGCCCAAGAAACTAATAATACAATAAAAAGATCAATTGTTTTATGGGCATATCGCCGGGTCGTTACATTCCAGTTACGATAATATGATGGAGCTTAATTTATTTAAAAATAAAGCTGACGTTTTTTTGTCGAGTGTTGTTAGTTATATCGACTTTCGTTGTTAGTTATATTAACTTTCAGTTTAATAACAACAAATTTGGATATTCGAATGGCTTTTGCCTATAACTTACAATTCTTTTTTCGCAATTTACTGACCTTGTAAGAGTTTCGCATATAAGACATAAAGTTAGATACTCTTTTCAGCGAATTCTTAGTCTTTCAAAGTTTTTCATAGTTGAAAAAATGAATTAAAGCCATGAGAAATATTTATGAAGTCCTTAAATAGTGGTACTTTTTCACAGTTTGAATTATGTATATTTTTTTTTGTACCACACTCAAACGAAGCATCTGAGAGTATTAAGTTCGCTTCCTGGCGCAAAGAGAGAAACCGGCTTCTAATTAAAATTTTTTAAAGTGAACTTTAAATTAAAAGTAATTTTAAAATGAAATGTATAGAATTCTTTGACTATTTAAAGACTGAAGATGGAGATGGTCTCATTATTGCTATTCAACAATGTCATTAATATAAAATAATCTATTGATTTCTGTGTACAATGGTACACCACTAGTGTACACCACTCATGTTAAAATGAATGACACTTTTATTTTCATATACCAAAATATTGTTAAAAACATGTACTCAGGCGTTTTAATGTCTTGTCTGATACTTACATACATAATTTTGCTTTGAATAAAACTGTACTGAAAAGTACTAATTTTTTTTAGCATGAAAAAGTCCAACGTACTGATTTCCCGCATAAGAAATCTGGCAACCCTAAAAACACACATGTGCTCAGAGAGAGTTCAACATTCTTCAGGGGTGACTCACAAGCATGAACATGTTCCGGTCTCAAACCAAATCGTGGTTGCCTCAACTAAGATTTGGTAACTATGACTAAACCATGTGTTAAAATAAAACTTATCTGTATTAGCAGAGCTTAGTAACGTCCTTTTATGAACCATACATTAAGTTGAATGAAATTTTGAGGAATATGCTTCAAAGAAATATTTATTAGTATTACCAAACCCTTCAACTAAATGAACGATTTGGTACAACCTAGATGAATATTATAAGTTTTAATATATTTAGTTATAATTACCAACCCATAGTAACAGTTCCCAATCCTTGTCAAAATTCGGGAACTAAATACCTTTAGTTGTCGAAACTAATCCTTTTTCTCAGTGTACCGCAAAAGACTTTATCCTTATTTAATACAGAGAAATCGAGGAAAACATGATGCACATATAATTCTTTTACTAAGAAATAATTTCTTATATTTAATTTCGTGATATGTATGTAATTCCGGATTTGGAAAAATCTATTGCTGATCTTTTCAAATACAATTAGGTTGTGAAGCGACCCCATTAATTATTGATGTATTTTGGGTCTCAGTTCCAGGCCAAGGTTTTCACGACATTATTAACCAATTGTTTCTATTTTCTTATTGCAGTACCTTCTTCACCTCCAGAGAGTCCACAATGTGACGTGCTGGGCTCCACATCAATTTATATAACATGGTCACCTCCAGATGTAGACGGACAGAATGGCAAAATCAAGGGTTACAAAGTATTTTACATATCTGTTAATGAATTATACGGTAAGATAGTCAAAAATTATTTAATCCCAGGTGGTCGATATTACATACGTATGTATGTTCATTGAGGGTAAATGTCCAGGGCCGGACCCTTTTTTTTGCGAAGTAAAAAATTAAGGAAATAAGTAATGTTATATGTATTTAAAAAGTAGCTGGCCCTTTTACAGTTAACACCTGGAAAGGTACGTAAAATCGTCAATTACCTTTGTTAACATTGAAGTGCTGGTTAGTTATTGTTTTCCTGTTAAGTTTAATTAAACGCGTTGATACATGGCGTATAAGTAACATAATTTCCTGCTCATATCTATGTATAAACTATGGATGTGGCGAATGTGGAATGTCAAATATATTAAGAAATCATTTAGGCAAGTAAATTAGGTGATTTAGGTAAAAAAATTAAAGTCTGTACACGCAGAAAAAGGGTTGCTTATAATTACCAAGATTTGGTTATAGTGACCGAGTGGCATAGTTGGATATGGCGAAATAAATATCTAGTTCACGAAAGTTTGCAATTTACTTCAGACTTCTAGTTGGGACAAAAGTATATTTGTTAATAACTACAAAGCGACTACCCTGATTTGACAATATTGTTAGTTGAATAAAATCATTGTTCAGCAAATATAGTAAATGCTTTGGTTTATACAAGTTTTCAATTAATTTTGTGAACTTGCTGATAGAGCTGTAGCAAACCGTATGTATTCGTTACTGAGTAACGAATACGATCCCTGACTCGAAGTACCTAATCATTACTCACATAATAATCTCGTTACTCGCATGTTGCGTATATGCACCATCATCGTGAATCAATACAACACAACATATTGTGCGGTAACGAAACTGTTTTTCGTATCGATACTAAAGTGTGTTGCGTGTGTATGTACGTACATACATGCATGATTCGTGTGAGGTACAAGCAGGGATGGAATGGTCTTCAAAAATTATACCGCAAAGAATATGAAAGTGCCACAAAATTAAATTTCTTTTATAATAATTATTTCTTAATATAAAAATTATTAATTAACTAAATTATTACAGTAAATCACTTTTATGAGGGATTCGTTATAAGCGGCATACACGGTGCGTCTGAATCCCGAGTCGGTTTGGATGTGTTAAGTAAAAATAAATGTGGGTTAGTGACAGAGTGGTATGACTCTGAATGACTCAACTGTGTGTAGTCGAAAGGCGAGTCAACACGTACACAGTTGACTCGCAAATCAGACGCTCCGTCAATGTTGCCTATTAGACATAACGCATAAATTCATAGTAAAATTTCACAGAATTCCAATTACGGAAGGGAAATACACCGAAGTACAGCTATTCTGACATTCTTACACTCATATGTACATATGTACCTATATGCGAAATAATGGCAGTAAGACATTTTGACCAGATTCGCATATTATTTACATTGATTATTTTTTAATTGATTTGAAATAAAAGTCTAATTCATAATTTAATAAACACAATAAATGTACACAAATCAGTATTTCAAACTTTGTACAAAAATTATAAAAACTCAGCAGGATTTTGCAACAAAATACTTTGAATTCAGAATTTTTAGGGAGATTCCAAGATTTCGAAATTTTTTTAAATGGATCAAAATGTATGACACCGTCAGAAAAAAATATCAAAAATCATTGGGAAACTGGCACTTTCATTTAATAAACTATAAAACTGCGAACTTAGAATCTTTCTAAACATTATGAATTAAAAGCTTGTTGTGGCGAAAACCTACTTTTCGTACTGCATGCATATTCACAACAGAATTCAGCGGTTTGCAAATAATTCTCACAGCCCTTATTTTAATTTGTAAGTGCTTTTAATTTTCACTTTTTAGAATTTTTTAATTTTGGTATGTAATTTTTTGTGGTTTATTGGCATTTTATGCTAAACTTCTATATTTTATGATTGTGCCAAAACAGGATGAATTGTACCAAAAGTGCCTCTGAGAATGTAAAGGCCAAAAATGGCACTATTGTGCCTACTTTTCCATCACTGGGTAGAAGTGCTTGATTGTAGTGTTGCCATCTTTTGATTTTCAATAAGCACCAAAAACTTGGAAAAAAAGCGTTTTACCACACTAAAAGCACCAAATTTCTTTGGATCAAGGGATGATTTTTTCATAACATAATACCGAAGTACTGCACATTAAAACTGTTATATCTCGAGAAAGAAAAATCTAATCGCATCAAACAAAAATGATGCGCTAGTTATAAATGAGCAAATAATTTGATGTTTTCATTATATAACCTCAAATATCGCTAAAAACCGTGTTTATGGGACTTTGAGGGTAGGATATCTCAAAATTCTAGTGCTAGAGTAATTGTGAGGCCAGATTTGGATTCAGCACCAAGAAACGATGTGTTTTACTCAGGTGGTAAAAAAACAAAATTTGTACAAATAATTAGAAAATAAATGCTTAACTTCAGCTTTTTATCAATCATGGTTGTATTTTAGTCCATTTAAGTTTGTAGATTCTTATAAATTCAGTGCTGCCACAGCCTTAAATATTTCAAATTATTTCAGGTTTTAACTATCTCGAAGTAATTTTAGTTCAGAAAAAAAGCACTAAAAAAGGCACTAGGCACTAAATAATTTTTTTTGCGTTTTAATTTTCAAAAAGCACTAAATCTAGTGCTTAAAGCACCAAGTTGGCAACTATGCTTGATTGTATCAAATTGTTCGAATCGATTCAAAAATATGTTGCGTGTATACATATGTTAGACAGCATCACCAAAAAAAGTTGTGGTTTTTCCGCCGGGATTACAAAATTTATTATATTTTAAGACGTCCACCAAAATATTTCGGAAAAATATTAAGATTTAAGTTAGCTGGACCGATTTGAAAATACCTCAAAAAATGTAGTTTTTTATGAATAAAAATAGTTTCTTAAAGAACTTTTTGAAACAAGTCCCCTCAGAAGACAGAACGGATTATGCTTAAAAAATCTGCATAAAAATATTTAAAAATCTTTTAAACGGAATCGTAAGAATCAGATTTTTGATGCTGTTTTTTTTTTTACTTTTTTCAAAGATTGATTTACGAAAAACTTGAACAACTGGGCCAAAACTATTCTGATTTAGACTTGTGGAATCTCAGTTGAAAGGTATTTTCACACTGTTTTTATTTCTGTCAAAAAAAGAGTCATTCGTGTTCCAATATATATATTTTTTTTTAAATACCAACACATCTTAATTCAACTTTGAATGACGTTCCTTCATCCTACCTTTCCCTTTCATCCTTTGAATGAGTTTATTAGCAAAGAAATAAAAAGGTAGAGAAAATACCTTTCAATTGACACCTCCTTAGTCTAAATCGGAAGAGTTTAGGTTCCGTTATTCAAGTTTTTGTTATACCAATCTTTAAAAAAAGTTAAAAAACAGCATCAAAAATCTCATCATTACGATTCCGTTCAAATTTTTTTTTTAATTTTCCAATTCCAATGGAAGAATATTACCGATTTTTTTTTATGGGGAGTGATGCAATATAATGTACATGTATGCATACGGACGAACGAACATTTCCTTACGCTGCAAGATTTGTTGCGATGATTCTTGAGAGGTACAAGTGCTTGAATCAAAAGTAACGAGTAAAGTAACGATACGAAAGATACGGGTGTTGATTGGATTAGTAACGAATACATACGTGTATCCGAAATTGCGTTACTTTTACAGGTCTACTTGCTGAAGACAAACCGTTTATTATTGGAAACAATTTTCTGTTTGACACAAGTAAAAATTTTCCCTATGGTTGTTGTGTTTACTTCTTTTATTTGACAATACATACATACATATTTACAAAAATAGTTCCTAGTGTAAATAATACAAATGTATATGGTGGTAAGAATTTCCTAAAAAGAAACGATGAAACAAGAACAGTCGTGCGAAAACCCAGGTCAATATCGGCTGGAAGAGCTGGTTTAAGTATACTGCTTTGCTTTTTCCTTGGCTAAATATTTAGACACTTTCAAATTATAATTAACATGAATTATATATCCATTGAGAAACCCCGGTCGGCATCAAACTTTATATTTTTAAATAACTATGCGCGCCAGAGCTGGAGAAACATCGATGCAACGATGTTTTTATATGAGCTGCTTATATCGATGTTTTTTTCTCAACATCGATGTTTTTGCAAATTGCAAACCTACATTTATTTGGCGCGTAAAAAGATAAAATAATTATTCTTAAGTCAGAAAAAATTTAAATAATATTTTAAATACTTTAAAAACATGAGGTACTTTTTTACATGAATCTATAATTAATGGTTTGCTCACACACACACACGGCGATTTGCTAAAGAAGCCGATTTTTTCAAGAAGGAGCGAAAAATCTGTTTTCTGAGCAAGCCTTTTATTATTGAATCATGCCTCATTTACATTTAAGTATTTTTTGATATCCAGCCTTTGAAGGGACAAAAGCATTATAATTTTTAATATTCAAGTATAGAAAAAAAAACTAGACTATATTTTTATAGGCTNTCAAGAAGGAGCGAAAAATCTGTTTTCTGAGCAAGCCTTTTATTATTGAACCATGCCTCATTTACATTTAAGTATTTTTTGATATCCAGCCTTTGAAGGGACAAAAGCATTATAATTTTTAATATTCAAGTATAGAAAAAAAAAACTAGACTCTATATTTTTATAGGCATTTTTTATATAATAGAATCTATTCCCAAGCGAAAATTTACGAAGTGAAAGGCTAAATAGCCTAATGCCGCCAAAACATCGATGTTTCTCCAGTTCTAATGCGCGCACCGAAACAACTCCCGGCGATAGCAAAACTGAAACTGAGACAAATAAGTCTGGGCATGTCATAGCGCAGACTTTTCTTTCTCTACCTAGCACAGTATAGACAGTAGCCATGGTGGAATAATAACAAGCTGTTGTCAGTTACTTAACCTCACTTTTTCGGCAGGTCTATTCCGGTCACGCATTTTAAAGTAGTAGAAAAGGTATTAATTATTTATTACTTTTAATCCGTTGGTGCATACTATTTCAAATT